ACAGAGCATGTCTGCAGTGAACAAAATTTCAATATGTATATTTACCATTTAATGGCTCAGACAGAGTGAGGATGCAAGACCCCTGGTCTCAGTTAGCTGATGGCTGAACCCCATGATGCTGACTCTGAATGAACTCCACAACATTCTATTACAGGCTTCCCACACCCTTTCTTTAAAGATGTTCAAAGTTGGGAACTCAGAAAAATGCCCTTGATGTTCACCTCTGCCATAGCAGAGTGGGTCCAAAGACTGGTACAGTCAGGAGGTCTGAGAGTGCTGGGGGGGTGGGGGGGCGGGAGTGTTAGGGAGTTCAGGGGCACCCATGCATCTACCTTCCTCATGCTCAAGCAATGGCAGCTGTGGTGGGAAATGGCTTGCCCCTCCTTCTCATGGTGTATCAGGGCCCAGGCTACCTCCTGTAGCTGGAGCAATGGCTGCCAGGCTGGGAGAAGGTGTGGTTCCAATTATTTATATTTAAATCCTATTCACTCTGTCCCACTGAAAGAAGACTCAATTTTGATTCTATGATTAATGTAAGATACACTTCTTGTAAAAGAAAATACAATTACATGAAATTAATATCACAATTTCATTTTTTCTCATTGAGTTTATTGGTACTTTTTAGGTATACAGTACAGTTATATTCATCATTGGGATCTTGTACCTTTACAAGATCTAATTTTTCCCCTTACCCCTGCCCTCCCTTCACTCCCTCCTCCCTTCCCTATTTAAAAATACTTTATTTCCATTTTTTCATTCTCCCAGATATTTTTCTTTTCCCTTATTTCCTTTCCCCTACCCTTCCCACTTCCCCCACACGTTTAGCCCTTTTCTTCCAATTTTACATTGTAAATTATATCATTAGAATATTATTTATAATTATACTTTTTCACACCAGAGAAACTATTTGATATTTACACATGTGAATGTCACAACTTATCAGACAAAAAAAAAAATCATTTAATCACAAAATGGCTTCTTCAGCACTGAATATATCTTATTATTTAGAAGGAGTGTTTAGAAACCCATTAAAACTGAACAATATTAAACCAAAGAGAGTAAAGCAATAAAATATTTATTCATAAGTATTACAATATTCGTTGTTCTGAAATACTCTGTGAAATCTATTCAGAAAAATTATCAATCCTAAATTTTAATTATAGAAAGAGTGATCTAAATATGATATAGGTATATAAAGATTACTAAGTTGCCAAAAAAATAGGTAGAGGAAAAACAAGAGAAAATAAAACATGTTCCAAGCAGACAAAAACAATTTTTCTTATATTAATCTCTTAGGCCAATAAAGTTTAAGCCCTTCTTTTGCTGGTATATTAAGTTCTACAAGATTAAGTATATGATTTTTCAAAACACTGTAAATTAGATGCAGCAAATTAGAAGGGAAAAAGTTGCTAGAGTAAGCATTTTTGAACAACAGAATGTGTAACTGCAAGTTAAGCAAAGGAATAAATACCCCCAAACTGAATTTTAAAAATCAATTATAATTAAGGTTTCTATAGTTTGACTTAAATAATTTAAGCATGTGATTGAGGAAAATAAGAAGAGTATTTTCTCCATAAGACTAGTCATCAAACACTTTACAACTTTTCCAAAGAGCATTATCTTACCAGCTTCAAATATCTATTGTTTATGTCAGCCTTCAAATTGGCCTTATCTCTTTCCCATAAATAAACCAGAGTAAGTTCTCCTAAAGATGCTTTTGTAGGCATCTACATTTTGCCACTGTAAAATTCATAAATAAATACAATTTATAAATTATAAACTATTGGAACAGTTGTCAGAGAATCATATTTTGTTATCTTAATTAACACATTTTCCTTTCATAACCTTCCAGTGCCTTCTTTTTCTGTCTTAGCTTATAAAATTTACCTTTATGTATACAATGTTATTATTTTCTTTAATTTACCTTTCTAAAACATCTTCAAATCTCATTTTGTATCTTTTAACAACACTTATATTATTATAAAATAACTTTCCGTTATTAAGAATGATACTCATTTAGTTTTCATCCTAATCTGTATAGATAAATAGTACTATTACCTCAATTTTACATAGGAGAAAAGTGCCTAAAGATTATAGTGCATTAATCTATGGTAAATCTGAGTGAAAACTCATATGAATTTGTGCTGTAAATTTAACTATTGTTATATTCTTTTCAATAAATATTTTATTCTCAAGTTAATCAAATATTGAGTATCTACAACACACACACACACATGCATGTGTGTGTGTGTGTGTGTGTGTGTGTAAATATAGGAGTATTTGTTTAAAATCTTCCTGAAGTATTATTAAGTACACAGGTACATATTCAGTATACCCTTGATGATTCATTTGAATCTTGATGATTCAGAAAATTCATCAATTATCTCTTGTAAATATATTATAAATTACATTATACAATGGTAAATAAATTGATATACTTTACTGAAGTAAAATAAATTGAAGTACTATACTGAAGTAAAGTGATAAGATAACATCATCTTACTTTATATTTTTTGTTTGTGATCCATAATTATATAATATACACTATATTATAATCATTTTAATCCCTTTTCCTTTTATTATTTCTTCTTTCTTCTTACTCTGCTTCCCTTGCCATCTTCAAAAAGTCTACCTCCTTCATTCTGATAATTTCTTCTTTAATTTTCTCTTTAAGTGTTTTATAATTTGGGTTCTTATATAAGAGAAACTACACAATGTTTAATTGTATGTTAGAACTATGGTCTCAAAACTTCATAATTTTCTTACAAATAACTCAAATTTACCCTTCTTCATGGTTGAGTAGTACTCCATTTTGTATTCATCATACACTTTATCCAATACGCTATAGAGGAAATATATATCATTTCTATAATTAGCTCCTCTAAATTATGCTAAAAACAGCATCATTTTAATAATTAGTTAAGAATTCCATTAGCAGAATATGAATGCTTTAATTACTGTTTAATCAAAAATAAACTGTAACTGACATGAGAAAAATAGAAGCAAAAAATAGCTAAAAGATTCTAGGAAAGACACTAAAAGCAATTCAGGTTCATGAATCTAACAGCTGCGAGTTAGCTAATAGTTCATGAGTGTGAGAAAAAAGCCATTACACAAAAATAAATTAGAGTTGCTACTAAGACTAAGTGCACAAGGAAGTATCTCATCTGAAATCCATTAGTGTATAATAAAATACATTTTTATGAGCCCTGTTGTGTTATATATCCCTTACCCCTCCTTTTAGGTAATCAGTAAAATTTACTGTGACAATCTTTAATTCCTGGTTGCTTGAATAATAGACAGTGTATGATGTGGCCATGAACAGTTTTGCTTTCTTTGAACAGCAGAGAGGTGATGGAATGGTACCCATAAGAAACAAAGAACACATCTCTAAGGAAAGTAAAATAAACAGTTTTGAAAATTTTAATCCTTAGATGTAATTACATAACACATACTTAAAAGTATGCCTGAATATATCTACATGTGTCATCAACTAATTTGCTGACTTGGTGTCCAATTATACTGGTTTTTGCCTGTTAAACATACTATTACACATAATGAAAGACTGTTTGCACTAATCACAATATTCTTTTTAAGTAAGACCATAACTGTTAAAAATTCATGATCCAGAGGTTTTTAGTCATACTCAACACATTTTTCTTTCAAAAATCTGATTGGGTGTTCTAAATATCTCAAATTATATAAATTGAGTTCACACTTGTAAAAAATTTGAAGGATTTCATATCTTTGAGGTTCAGACAGAAATTTACTATAAGTACAAAGGTTTGTATATTTTATTCATAATATTTATATATTTTCATATATAATTTGAAATAATTTTATGTGCTTATGTGTGTGCCTGTATTTCAGAATCTCAAGTCTAACAAATGAAACTGTATTCTATATTTCTGATTTTTGTGCTATAAAATTAATTACTTCTTCAACTGGACAATAATTAAATCAGATTCACTATTTTAAAGTACCTCAAAATAAATGTTTGCATTTTTTAAAGTTTAATTCTAGAATCTAACAGTCTTCCTGGAACTATAACTTACAATAAATACTAAATTTAATTATTTGTCAGCTAGATTATACCATCTGATAAGACCAGAATTTGACATGTTAAGTTAGAAAGTACTGTGTTAAGAATTAAATAACATATTTTATAATAAAATATCAAATAAATACTTTCTTCACATTTTATGTCAATATTAAAATAATCTTAAAAACAAGTAACTTTTTACTCATATAAGCATTAGTACACATATGAATGAAGTCTAAAAACTATAAAGTTTGCAAACTAAATTAAATTCTACATATAAAAAATAATAGGAACAATTGAAAAAAATAGATAAATTTAGGTGAAATTTTTTTCCAAAAAATTGAAAATTATGAGTATTGTCTTTCTGTCCTCTCTATTCAGCTGGATTTTTGGTAGCCCAGATATATTATTTGAGGATTTTGGCTCAAGTCTTCCAAGGTTGAAACATCTAGAACTAATTACCCATCACTTGAACTCCTTACTTTATTTTGGATAATTACTGCATGGTTTCTTTTTAAGTGATTAATTGGCATCTTCAATAGTATCAAACCATAGACAGACTATATTAGAAATCTCTTCTTGCCTCTGGAGAGTATATTATAAAATAATATACAGAAATAAATTGAAACATTGATTCCTGAACTTTTTAAGACATTTCTTTAATTGTTAATTTCAGGAAAATTAAGATGAGAAAATACTTCAGTTCTTAGGATGCGAGACGGTTTACTTCCCTAAAGTAGTTCAGCTTACAATCTAAATGAAAGGCAGCTTAGTATTATTATATATCCAGAAACAGTGAAGTAGACTGAGAACTGAAATTACAAATTAATTCATAATTTTCTTTTATTATCAAAATAATAGTGATTGTTTTATGTGTTTTATGGAGATTCATGATGTCTATTTTTGAAAAGTGATTTTTTAAAAATGGTATCAACTTATGTTTCAGAACCACTAAGAAATGGGGACCTGGATTTTGTTTGCCTGCTTCCTAGGAGCAGCCTTCACTATGCCTGTGAGTAAAATATCCCTTCATTGAATGTGCATATCTACCCATTGTTAGTAAAGTAAAATGTATGGTTTAAAGTGTACAAGATCACACCTTGTTATATTCCACTATGTTTAAGAAATACTTGAAGAAGGCATTAAAATAGCAGATTCCTTGCACCCACTTTGTTTCATTTAGTGTAATGTCTCTCAGTTTTACCTATATTGCCAATGACAGGATGTTGTCCTTTTCATGGCTATTAGCAGATTTTATTTAACATAATACTATATTGTATAATTCTATCAAACATCAAATAGTAGCCTAATTAATATAAACATTTATTACTTCTCAGTCAAGATGAAAAGAGATTGTTGGATGATTCTACTCCTGATTCTGATTCAATACAATTGAGATGTATTGAATGCAGGGCTCTACACTTAACAAATATCCCAGAACATTCCATTAAAACTTATAAATACAAGGGAACTGTTATATTTGTGTATTAATAATGCTGTAAGATTCTGTAATATTTCTGTATCTAAAATTTACTCCTACATCTATCTTCCTACCACAGGGCTCATTTCTTTGAGCTCATCTGTTAAATGCAGTTTGCCTTTGAGATAGTTAAATGTAATCATGCTGATGTTTAATATACATTGATATGTTTTACATTCAAATGTATGAAATTCTAACTCATTCACTCTTGACTGAGGTACATAGAAGTAGAGCATTAAGGTTACATGAAGGCAAAGAAGGTCTATTTTCTCTTGGTGGAGTAAAGAACTGTGATATATCCAAAAGCCAGAGAGCTTGCATAGCTGCCTTCTCATGTCTTCTGTCACACGCACACACAAACACACACCCACATGCACACAAATTCTGTCTTGTTTTCTTGAAATCTTTTATTGTGATTATTTCTAGCCCCTTGCGGGCTGCCTGCATAGCACACAGCCCTTTTCCCCTCTACAATTCAATATTTCTGATCTCAGAGAACTTATAAGAAGACAGTATAGGGAAGACCATTATATGAGTAAAGTAATTCACATGAAGATGATAGTAAATGCTTTTATGGAAAAAAGAGCCCTGATAAAGAACAGAATGGACTTACATAGCATTAATTAAATTATAAACTATAATTAATTGGTATTATGTCTAAGAAAGATTTTCTACATAATGCTCTCTCTTCTCTGCTGAACTCCTGGACCATCCAGAATTCAACCAGGCAGACATCAAAATTTTGGCTCCCGTCTAGGAAGGGACAGATAATGATATTTTTAAAAATCATTCGGTTTCATTGTGAACTTTTAAATTTCTTCCATAAATATACTGATATAATAATAAACAAAATTTGCCTAAACATAATTAAAATTTTTTATTGTTCAGAATACAAATGTAAATTATTTCCAATTTAACACATCTACCATGTTTTTGGATATGTCAATTTCCAGCTATTTAATTTTTTGCTCTTGATTTATTTTCCTTTGAATTTCAATCATGATAATTTTCTTTGGTACTCAAGCACTTAAACTTTTGCTCTACAGGGAAATTTGTGCATATTTACAAATTTGTATTAGTACACATTCACAGTACATAATAATTATATTTATTGTGGGGAGTTTAGCACATGTACATAGCACATCTTAATTCTATTTTAATTCTTTATCTTCCCATCTTTCAGTCCTTTTTTTTCCTTTCACTTTCCTTTCTTCCCTTCCCTCCTCCTTCTATCTCATTCCCCTTCACATATAAAAAAAAATTTCCTTACTTTCCATTACCCATCTTTTACTTTACTCTTCATTTATATTCTGTTTCTCATATAAGAGAAACCACATGATATTTAAGGTTATGTTCTGATATTTTAAAGTTGTGTAACAGAAACAACTTTCTCTGCCCTACAGAGTGAATTTAGTAAACAAGTAAATGGAAGAGTGTAATAGGGTAAGATTTCTTGACAACATAGCCTGAGTGAGCTAGTCTACAGATCACCATAGAATGAAAATATGCTGGTACTTGCTTCCATATCTCCTCCTGCATGACAAAAGACTTGGGAGAATTATTTAACCATTCTGCACCTCTTTAGAATAAGAATAATTCTTTTATTCAGCATATATGTGCAAAGTAAAATAGACTTCCAGGTGTATTCTGTAATATATTGATTTTTAAGTAGCATTATTGCCCTTAAAATGAATAATTTGTATTGACAATTTTTTCTTTTATTTTCCTCTCGATTCCTCTCTCTGTACCTGTGTTTTATGTTCACTCTTCCATTTTTTTCTCCATTCTTGTTTCTCTCCTATAAAAGCTACCACCTCATCCTGGGCATCCTGGTTATATTAACTTCAGCTATGAGGTAATGTTTTTCTCCTTACTAATTTTGACCATTATTTGAGTTAATGATGTTCTAAATTCTGTAAAAATAATGTTTTGTTTCTTCTTTCAAGATTTTAAAAAAATGATTTCATTTCACAAATTCTTACCAACACTTTCCATTTTAAACCCTAACAGACAGTCTCATGTCTACAGTTTCTCAGAACCACCTAGTTATTTCGACTGTCTCTTTTCTTAAATAATTGAGTTAATCTATCATGAACCACCAAACAGGGAGGCTTCGTGAAAAGACAGAATGTAAGATAGGCTTGAACAACCTTGTTGTATCCCAGTCTATAAAATGTGATGATTAAGTAAAATAGTATTTAAAACACATTCCTGCCTCAAAAATTGCCAGTTGTAAATATATCATGTAGGTATATCTCATAGGCTTAAGTGAAGATAAGTGACTAAGAGACATATGAGAAACTCTACAGAGTGACACAGAACTGGTTTTTAAAAATGTTCTGGATATAGGGCTTGGACTTAGCTCAGTGGTGCTGTCACCCGCCTTGCAAGCCCAAGGACCTGAGTACATTTCCCAGTGCCAAAAAAAAAAAAAAAAAA